ARKTKKTTYMMCYWMYTTTTWMSGKKKTWARWTTWWYYTTTTAYACAACTGTTTCTTTAGAAACACCGATGCAGCTCATGCTGGTTTACCGCTAGTTCCCACCATTGTATATCKCCATAGATACCGATACAATATTATCATAACTRTKTTATGATCAACACYATATTGTCATTATGATTTTAGGTTGTTATTGGGGGTAGAAACAAATATCTTATCAATGGATGCAATGCAAATAATCAACGTGTCCAGGATTTGTTTCGTAGTGTTCAACTTAACATCAATAATCCACATTTTCTAATCATGCAGGTAAGGTTCAAAAAAATATATCACATGAGCATGTTGTAAAAACTATGGCACAGAACATGCTATACTGCAGTTTTTAAAAAAATACATTTGTATATTCATTTGCTTCAGGGAAGAATCACAAAAGTRCTGAATATGAAGCCTCCAGAGGTAAGTAAATAAATAGTTCATGGATAACAAATTAAACTAAAAAGTAAAGATATGAATATGAAGACCGCATGGCACTATGATAAACACGATATAGAGAAAGAAAGTTATAGTGCTTAGAAGGAGGTAATTCCGGGAAAAGTCCCTTAGAAATAAATTCGGAAAAATTAACCTCGCTGGGATTCGAACTAAAAAGTACTTCATTTTATACACTGTACATGTAGATCATCCATCCATATTGTATGTACATCTATTACCAATGACTAGCAGGTTTTATAGTAATTCTTTTAGATTTGATACATGTATTGTTGAGCACTTGTTTAGATGTTCTTGTTTCTTTAGATATTATCCATGATTGAAGAGGCAGCAGGCACACAAATGTACGAATCAAAGAAGCTGTCAGCCATGAGAACTATCGAGAAGAAGGAAAACAAACTACAAGAGATAGAAACTGTAAGCTTGGACAAAATACTGTTTACAAAGACACTCTAAAGAGACATTTTGTACTTAGTTTTATCTCACTTTTATTTATTTCCTAGATTTTGAAGGAAGAAATTTAAATTGAGTTTTATCTCACTTTTATTTTTATTTTTATATAGATTTTGAAGGAAGAGATAACACCAACTTTGAAAAAACTTAAAGAGGTAAATAATGCTACGGATACACAGTTTGTCTGCAAATTTTTAGGGCAGGAAAGCACGCACAAGAGATACAGAGAGACTGTTGTCAAATCAGGGTAACAGTCATCTATTTTTTGGAATTGAAAAGGGTTGATTTTCTAATAGATAATGACTGGAAAATTCAATGTGAATACATTGTATCTGTTTGCAGGAAAGAGCTGATGCCCTTGAATACCAAAAAGTAATGAGAGAATTGGAGCACTCCACCAGAATCTATGTTGCTTATCAGTTTTCTACAGCTGAGGTACAGTAAGTGAAATGTAAAGTCCCAAAATTAAGGTGTAGTTGATGTGATAGCTGGTCACTTGCACTAAATCATAGCTCGAAATAATGGCCGGTCAAAGGACAATGTCCTTCCAAATTCACTAGATGAACGGACAAATCAAGTTTTGGAAGATAGATTGACCTGCCACATTTTTAGACAAATCAATTCTCAATTCCCATAAAAAACTTTTACATCCATTAAATGGCTTGTCAATCTTTCTGGATACAAAAACCTATTTATTAAAAGAAAATAATAGTATAATAAAGTTCTTCTCCTTTCAAAACTCGACATGACCTTCCAAAAATGAATTTGGAAGGAAATCTTGTCCTGCATATGTCTGGTCGTTATTTTGAGCCCTGTTAATAATGGGCTATTGTTTAGTTAATTCCCCTTTACTTGATAAAGTTCTCTATTTTCTCCTGTTTTTGTTTGTGTCTTACATGTTACTGTTACATCTTCACTACTAGTGTATTTTTTTTGTGTCTTCCTGACTTGAGTGAGTTTTCACTACAATTATTTTGTACAATGCACGTGTAGGAATTGAGCACGAAATCTGGCAAAGTCCAAGAGGAGGAACAGGAGAAAAAAGCTGAGAAGATTAAACAGATGGATGAGGTACATAGAAAAAAACAAAGCCATTACTGTGTCATACAAGAATAAGTTGCTGTAAGAGGTTGGGTTCCCTCACCTCTCTTTCCTTTCTAAACCCCTCAAAGAGCCTTATTGAAATTTGAGTACTTGTTTAAAAATATTCTGTATATATATATATATATATTATAGAGAGAAAAGAAAATCAAAGAWATAGATGCTGAAATAGAAGAACTAGAGAAGAAAAGAAGTGGTGTAAGTTCAATAATTGTTTAAAAAAACTTAAGTTCTTTTGGACATGTCTTTGGCTCTAGCACAATTAATTCTAAATAGTCTTAGCGTGCAGAATATAATTCGAAATAAGAACTACATGCGTATTTCAATAAATAATGATGATAGTTGTACACGTTACATTGTACATGTTAACAATTGTCAAAGTTGAAAAGATATCAAGCTCAAATGCAGTCTATTGTTGCCACTGGAAACTCTAACAAAGTGCAACTGGAATGGATGATATAGTAAAAAACATTAATGTTYCCCAAAAATAATGAGGTTGTGAATTATATCATGCTTTATGTAATAGGAATCAGGAGCAACCCTGAAAAACCTAGAAAATAAACTGGATGAAGCCTCTAAGGTGAGCAACAAATAAGTATTTATCCATTAACATTTACCCATATGTATACAAAGGTAATTTTTTGCACATAATTTCTTTCCACAGATTGATGTTAAGGCTATTTCAGACCTAAAACACGCCAGGGAATCTTTGACTACTGAGAAAAGAAAGAAAAAAGATATAGAAAAATCAAGAAGTGATGTATGTAAAATTTKCATTTTTTCAATTTTCAATCCATAATTTCTTTATCAGAGTGTACTGTRAATTTCTCCAATCTTTTTGATCCTTGATCCTTATAGGATCAAAAGCATTTYACAATGAAAGAAAAAGAAGTTGAGAAACTCTACAACATGCTTAAAAAATTGGAAGAAGGAAGTAAGAAAGATGAGGAATCTGTGMGACTTGCCCAAGAGAAACTTCATGCTGTGTCTGCTGGTCTAACTACCACAAACAACCAGACTCTTGCTGACCAAATTATGAGTAAGATKTGCAAAGAATAATTTTGAAACAG